GACGTTTCGACATCTGTTGCGGATTCATCATCAGAGACATTAGTCGGAAACAGTTCCAGAGACCCATTGATTAAGTTAACAAAAGTGCTGTACGTTGATACTTATAGCGAGATAGAATGCGTATTTAACGTAATCTCGCCATCTATTTAACAAATATTTAGAGCCGAAATCTTGAATAGAATCTACGACCAGATAAACAACATTGTTTAAGACGCTGTTTTTTTCTGTTTTCCAACTAATTGTTTTTGGCGTGATGCTAATAACTAATTTATTATCTGCTGCCCGCATATGTAATTATAATATATGAGAGAAAATATTTTCTTTTTCATGATATCAAATACAGTCAGCGATTTTTAATTAACTTGCTTTCGACCAACTTACGCTTATATATAAAGGTTTTTGCAAAAAAATGCTTTGCCTGTCCCCTATTATTGCGTTATTAAGCTAATCCGATTCTACTGACAAGCATGGTTACCACTGGTGCAAATGACGGCCAATTGCAGTCAACCGAAAACGTTACAGCCAGCCAATAACGTCCATTGAGCATCCGTCCAGTTAGTAGAATAAAATATGTTTCATTTTTTAATTGCATTTCCACGAGCAATAACGCAGCAGCCTTGGTTGATGCATAAAAATGTCACTAGCTGCTCAAAGACGAAAAATTGCCATGAAAAGATTCTTATCTTACCGCCTACCTGATGTTCAGGAACAGACCATATTTTCCAGCGAAACGTGCGTTTCAGAATATTTTTTTATCTTTTTGTTGGAAGTAAAGCAGATGCTCAGTTGTTTTAGTTAAGCCATTTAAACGAATGCATATATGATTTATTACAGATAAACATATTTAACTAATAATTTTTGGTTCATAAACCTATAAAACACTCGGCGTATTTTAGATATTTCACCATTCGTTTTTGTTACTATTGAGTCAAAGTTTTCTTAAATTATTATCTGAGATAAGAAGGTAGTTATGTTTTCTAAATTATTGTGTTAAAATTTTGATTAATTGTCATTGTTGCAAGATTATTTGAGTAATATGCTTTCTATTTTTCA